GATAGTTGTATGTCATAGCTGCACATCCTTTTAGTTGCTGTATGTGGGACGCGGCCTCAGCATGGCCGGAGAAGCGGTGCATCTGTGCGCACACGGGATCGAACCCCGGCCGCCAGTAGCAGAGTGCGCACACTTAACTGCTAAGCCACCGGGCCGGCCCTCATTTTACTTTTATATTACCTCTAAAACTGAGAATAACAGATGAAAAGTCAATATTCAAATTGGAATATGTGAGTGATATGTTTTAGTTACCTGAAAAAATTTTTTTATAAAGTTTGGTACAAATTACTTGAAATCAATGTTAAAATCTATCAATGATGAAATATGAACTACCCAATGTCACGAAGTATTTCTTTCAAAAATGTTTATATTGAATCTAAGCCTAACTTCCAGTTTACATGAAATAAGACAAATCCAGAATGTGTGTCACTCTACAAGATAGCTTGTATGGTATCTTCAAAAAGTCAATGTTACAGAAAAAAAAGTTCTAGGTTAAAAGAGACTAAATATAACCAATTACAATGCCTAAACCCTGATTGGATCATTGTTTAAAAGAGAGTGAAACAACTGGGGAAATTGGAACATGGATTGAATAGGAACTTAATGTTAATCTTAGTTAATGAACTGTGATTGTGGAATCGCAATTGTAGAAAAATATTCTTGTTTTTAGGCAATGCATGCTGAAGTATTTAGGGGTGAAGTATCTTGATATGTGCAATTTCAAATGGTTCAACAGTTTTATGTATACACATAAATAAAAGTAAATGTGGCAAACGTTAACAGTTGTTAGGTTTGGCTAGAGAGCATATGGGTGTTCATCGTGTCATGTTTTTCAACTCTGTATTTTGAAAATTTTCACAAAGTTGAGGGATATCTTAGATTTTCCATTTAAATCATCACTAAAAATGCTCTGCCCCCGTGGGCATATGAGTCTTTTAGGCAGATTTCTCTAACTGTGATCTTTGGACCATCAGTGTCAGACTCACAAGAAAATATGCAAACAGCCAGTGAGCACATGAAAAGCTCAATATTACTCATCAGGAAAATGCAAATGAAAAGTACAATGAGGTTCCACTACACATACCAACTAGAATGGCTGTATGTACAGACTAGTAATACCAGTGTTGATGAAGATATGGAGCTACTGGAACTCTTGTATTTTTTTGGTGGGATTGTAAAATGGTAGAGCTACTTTGGAAAACAGTTAGGTAGTTTCTTATAAATTACAACATATCCTTACCATTTAACCCAGTAATCCTAATCCCAGGTACCCAAGAGAAATGTCCACACACAGCCTGGTATTCGAATTTTCATAGCAGCTGTATTCATGATAGCCAAAAGCTGGAGACAACCGTAATATCACCAACTAGAGAAAAGATAAGTTGTGATAAATCCCTTCAAAAGAACTACATGCAGCAACGTGAATAAGCCTTTAAAACATTATACTAATCTAAGAAAGCAGACACAAGAGTATGTACTGTTCAATTCTCTTTTCTATGAAATCCTAGAACAAGCTAGCCTTAATCTACAGAGACAATGCAGATTTGCCTGGGGCTGGAGATCAGGGAGGAGGGAGGATTGACTGCAAAGGGACGTGAGAGCACTTTCTGGCGCATTGGAACTATTCCCTCTCTTGATTGGCAGAGGTTACATGGGTGCCTACATTTGTCAAGCTACTCTTGAGATGGGTGCATTTTCTTTTGTGCAAATTGTACATCAATAAGGTTGATTTAAAATATATGTACATTTTTTTTTTTCCTGGTGGCAATGTGGGCTCCTTTAAATTTTTATTTTTTCCCCCAAAGCCCCGGTAGGTAGTTGTATGTCATAGCTGCACATCCTTCTAGTTGCTGTATGTGGGACGCGGCCTCAGCATGGCCAGAGAAGCGGTGCGTTGGTGCACGCCCGGGATCCGAACCTGGGCCGCCAGCAGCGGAGCGCACGCACTTAACCACTAAGCCATGGGGCTGGCCCAATGTGGGCTCCTTTAGACAGGGTTTCTCAAAATGTGGTTTCTGAACTGTCTGCATCAGAATCACCAGGAAAGCTGCTACAAACCTGACTTCGGGGCCGCTATCCCACCCTTAACCCAGTGAATCAGAATCTCACAACTTGGGGGAGAATGAGTTGTGTGTGCTTAACACAGGTAACTCCTCCACAAACCAGATGTCGAGAGCTGCTCCTCGGAGGCTGCTGTGAGCTGCTGGGCCAGCTGGTGTTAGAGGCTGGTCTCCAAAGCTCCATGAAACAGGCCGGTGCTGGTGGCAACATTATTAGATGTGGATTTCAAACAATAGCAGCTGGCAACGCCTGGTGGGAAAAGAGACTAGGGAAATTATTCAGAGGAATTCCATGCAGACCAACCTGCTGTGTAACTTTCTAGCTTCTGTTTTGTAGAAAGGGAGAGGCATGCTCTGAAGGTGAGGCTGAAACTTGTGAGAGTGTACCTCAGTGAAAGAAATAATTACAGGCTGTAAGAAAAGGCAGTCACAGGAATAACTTCTGAAGCTGGTAGTTCTCAAGCCAGGCTGCACATCAGAATCTTGTGGACCTTTTAAAACTAATTTCTCTTTTTATCAAAGTATACATGAATACTTTCTTTAAAAATGTGCATATGGATTTAAGTTAGTACTAAAGGATGTATGTTAAAAAATAAAATAGATAAATATATATATATATATAGTCCCCCTGTAACCTCAGTCCTGTCCCTTGAAGACAGACATTTAAAAGGTTTTCAATCTTAAGTGTAACGGTTTGATGAATTCTTACATATGTATCCACCCAACCCCACCCAGATCAAGATCTAGACCATTTCCAGCCCTCTAGAATGTTTCCTACTAGTGCCCCTTCCTAGCTAATACTCCCCTCCCCCAAGATAGCCAGTATTGACTTATGTCACCATTGATTAGTTTTAAGCCAACCACTTTATTTTTGAGGTTTCTTCTAGTTTTTGTCTCCATATTTCTAATAACCTTGCACTGCTATTTCCTGGTTTGCCAACTTTGGACAGTAACTAGTAGCTTCCTAGTGTGGTAGATCAGTTCACTGTCTTATTCCCCTTCCTCACCAAGTGAAGCCAAAGCACTCAGATTCCCAGGCCCAGCACCATACCACCACACCCTGGGCACCTGCATCTTTTAACCTCCACAAGTGATTCTAAGTGGCCCCTGTGCCCAGGGAGCCCCAAGTCTGTGGTACTTGGCCCTGACGCTGGGAGGAGCTGAAGGGCTCCTGATGTTAACCCGGCCTGGCGCACCAGACAGGATGTTCACTTAGGAGGCTTTAAAATGAGTTAAAATTGAGCATGTTGTCAAGCTCGAGGGTTAATTTGTAGTTGGAATAACAAAACCATGAGAAAGAAAGACCGAAGTGTTTCTAGGATTTTTATTGCTTGTTAAGTGTACTCTTAGAACTCTCCTCCCCGCCCTCTTCTCCCAGGCGGCCCAGACATTCTGTACAAGCTGTTGGTTTAAATGGACCCTTTAAGATTTCTCTGTTTGAAAGGAATTTGGATGCATGGTTTGACTTTAAAAGGAAGGTTGGTTTGCACATGACAGCTGTGTTGAATGTTCGGCACCAAGATAAGACACAGATACAGGCTAAAGTGACTAAACAAGTTCTTCGTCCCACCCCACTGCCACTCCCTCTAGCCCGAAGGCCCTTCACTGAACACCGACACAGAGACATCTTCAGGCTAGTATCTCCACATTTCTCCACTTGCCTTTCTCACTCAGACCCATCCTCTCCCGTTTACCAGGTGGGGGGTGCTCCCTTGGCTTCTCCTGCCCAGATGGCCCAGTCCTCTGCATCTTCCCAGCCATGGGCATCAGCTGCAGAGGCCCCGCCCTCCCCACACGATGGTCTCCATGCAGAACCTCTCTGCCAGTCCTTTGCCAACTCTCGGGACAGGGAAGGAACCTCCCTTTCTCCTCTGGGGGCCAGCCACCTCTCATTTGCTGTCCTCCACAGACAGTGCTGGTCAGCTGTGTCAGCCGTGCGCCCAGCTGCCTGGAAATGGCATTTATAGCAATGATGTTATGGCTGCCAAATCCCATTGCCATAAAGTAACGGAAGACTCATTTCATGGGCTCAGATGAGACCCCAGATTGGGGTCACCTGTGATCGTTAGTCCTTTCTGTTCCTTTGTGACTGAAGGTGTGTGCCTATGATTAAGCAGGTAGGGGAGAGATGGGAAATGGCCATTTTAATGAGGGAGAAATGGAGGCTCAGAAATGCTAAAAAAACCTTCTGAAGGTCACTGAACAAATCTGCTTCGGAAGCTGGAGACTAAATGGGCACCGAGACACATGGCCACAGAAGGTCTCCTTTCCCTCGGATGTGATCTTCCTGCACCGGTTCGCCCAGGAAGGGCTCCTTGAGCACGGAGCAGGGAGGCCTGGAAGCCGGGGTCCAGGGAACAGCTGCCTCAGCTCTCAACTTGGCCTCCCCTGGGGGGGCTGCATGCCCCCAACAGGCTCAGGACAGGCAGAACCCGAATCACTTGGTCCCCTTGGCGCAGACCCAGGGTCTTGGAGAGGCGCAGTCCAAAGCCACGAGCTTGCCTCCCTCCAGGCCCCCACACTGGAGATCCGGCTTGTCCTCGTCCTCCTCCGGGAGTCTGGGGAAGGGCAAAAAGAGAGGAGGAGCTCAAGATGACGGGGCCACTTGGCCTTTGTGGGCCCTCCCAGCCTGCATGCCTGCTGCCTCTGCTGGCCCGGCTACTGCTTGGATCGCCACACAGGGCCAGGGGGTCTGGAGAGAGCCCTTGGGTAGGAGTCATGAGGATGCCCCTGGCTCGTCAGCTATGTGGCTCTGGGTGAACCACCAAACCTCTCTGAGCTGCACACCCTTTATCTGTAGAACAGGGTGACAAATCGTGCTTGGGGGAATGTGCTGGGGGACCCAAATAAGGGATGGGGAGATGGAGACTAAACAAAAACCCTGAGTATGGGTGTGGGGTCAGTCTCCTGAGAGGCCCCCCAGGCTGGGGGTGGAGCAGGGAGGCTGAATCTGGAGACAGGGAGGATTCAGAACAGCAGTGGGAGGAGGTGTTGGCAGAGGAGGAGAAGGCCTCCAGCCCCTCTTTGGCGCCTGCTGTGATGTCACACTGGGGAACCCACACTAGTGCATTGGGGACAGAGAGGGCCTCCCACTCAGGCCCATGGTCACTCACAGCTGGGGCGGCAGGGGAGCCCCATCGATCCAGTGCCAGCCCTGGGGGCCTCGCCGGGCCCCCACCCAGGAGTACGTGGTGATTGCGTATCTGCCCAGGAAGTCCTGAGGGAGAAAAGCAGCTGCTCACTCTCCCCCATACTGGGATGGCTCACCTGGGGCTCCGTCAGGCTTCTGCAAGTTCCCAGCTCCTCAAGAAGCTCCAGAGAAATCCAAAGAAGTGACTCTGCTCAACCCACCTCTCCCCATACACCAGGAACTGGAAAGTTGTATTCGACACTTGCTAGCTGCCAGGCACTTTGCTCAGGACTGGGGACCAGAAATGGGGGTGATCCATCTGGGTCCTCAAGGGGAGAGAGGATGTGAAGGCCAATCCCACCAAGCAATGCACCACAAGTATTGAGAGGACAGAAACGAAGACGCTCAGAGAAGGTGGGGAAAGGCCTGGGCAGAGCTGGAGGCCATGAAGCACATCCAGGTAACAGCAAATAGCCTCACTGGGCAGGAGGCAACTGATGGGGCTGCTTAGGCTGCAGCGGTGGCCTGGGAGCAGATGGCCAGCAAGAGCATACGTTACGTTGTAAGCGTTCAGCACAATATTAACACCATTAAAAAGAGACAAGTGTGAAGACTGGAGCCATATGGGGAAAAGTTATAGTATATGAAGGGTTACAGTAAGTGAAAAAGCTGAATCAAAGTTGTGGCATGATTATAATAATGAAAAAATAAGTATGCACATGGACGCAGACACACAAGGAACAACAAAAAACAAAACAAGTTACGTTAGGAGAGCTATTAGAGATGATTTTTTTTCTTTTAAATATTTGTCCTCAACATCCTGTTGTCTTGAGCAACGAATTAAAGCAAAAGATCGTATTTAAAAATTTTCGGAGGGGCTGGCCCGGTGGCGCAGTGGTTAAGTGCACGCACTCAGCTTTGGCAGTCCAGGGTTCGCAGGTTCGGATCCCGGGCACAGACCGACGCACCACTTGTCAAGCCATGCTGTGGCGGCGTCCCATATAAAGTAGATGATGGGCATGGATGTTAGGCCAGGGCCAATCTTCCATAGGAAAAAGAGAAGGATTGGCAACGGATGTGAGCTCAGGGCTAATCTTCCTCACAAAAAAAAAAAAAAAAACTTCAGGGGCCAGCCCCACGGCCAAGTGGTTAAAGTTCTGTGCACTCTGCTTCGGCAGCCCGGGTTTGCTGGTTTGGATCCCAGGCGCAGCAGACCTACACCACTCAACAAGCCATGCTGTGGAGGTGACCTACATACAAAGTAGAGGAAGACTGGCACAGGTGTTAGCTCAGGGCTAATCTTCCTCAGCAAAAACAAAAAAAAATTTCAGGTTGGAAAAAGATGTTTCAGTATTGCAAGTCCTGGTGTGGGGACTTGGTGGAGTGGGGCAGCGATGTTGGCGTAGTCCACACATGCCCAGTCTTTCTGGAACATAATTTGGTGCCATGTAATGAGCAGTAACACAGTTCCTATTGCTCGGATGAGTGATTCCACTTTGGGGAATACATCCAAGAACGTAAAGGGGAGAAAACGAACTTACCGAAAGGTAACACAGTGCTATTTATAAAGAAAAAATGGAAACACCCAAATGCTCAGCAATTGGAAAATAACTAGGCAAGTTATGGGATATCAACATGATGGAAAATTACAGTGCTGTTAAAGATGACAAGTAAATAGAAAATGTAGTTATGCAAGAAAAGGTAAATAGGAAATTATGCCAAGTAAAAAAAAAAGTAGGCCACACCAGCAAATACACATCGCTCACAATGCCAAAAAGCATACATTCACATTAGTGAAGATTAGAAGTGGACTGGTATAAATGGATTTAACATGTGTTCAGTTCTTCCCTAGAAAACTGTTTAAGTTGGTAAGACAAAACCTCTATATTTAACCCTGGGAATTAGAAAGCAAGCTGGAGTGATGACTGTCCCCTTAGTACCACTAAGGTTTCAATTTAAAGGTCACTTCCTGTGGGGACACCGTGCTGACCCCCTCTAAGGCGAGCTCCCTCTGTGCTGCCATAATCTTCATAGTTTAGCGGTTGGTGTGCTGCATTTCAATGGCTTGCTTCCTTGTCTATTTCCTGTATTGGACAGTGAACTTGGTGAGGACCGGGGGCCTGTCTTATTGACCACTGACTGTGAGAGCCCAGCACACAGTAGGCCAGCTCAACAAAACTGCCTCCCTCTGCTGTCAGTCACCAGCAAGGGCCACAGGTCACACACAGGCCATCAGGCCGTGTGCCCCAGAGGTGTCAGTGCAGACCCATCTTCTCCCCTCAAGGGAGCACCAGCCTATCCAGGCTGAGAGAGAAGCCAGAAGCAACTTCCAGGCTGACAGTTGTTAATCTTATCCCTTCAGAAATCCCAAAGCTCAGACTGCATTTGAAAGTGGAGAGTGGTGGCCAGAACAGGTAAGGCGCACACAGCCTTGCCATGGCTGGTTCTTCCCTCTCCAGCTGGACTCCACAGGCTGGGGCTTGCGGGCAGGACTGGGTGGGGCGGGGCGGGGCGCTTTGGCGAGAAAGAGAAGGATCCTGGGCTGGCTCTGAGATGTGAGTCAGAGGGCTGAGCAGCCGCAAGCATCTCACTGCCGTGGCTGCGGCAGATCTGGGGCACCCGCTGGCCAGCACCATCCCAGGAGCAATTAGCTGCCTGTTCAGGAAGGCACACCAGGGCTCGGAGCCTCTCCTAGGGCTGAGAGGGGCCTATCACTGGGGAGAGTAGAGCTTTGGGGCCAGGCTGCCCATGTTCAAATTCTGGTTCTGTGACTTCTAAGTTATGTGACCTTAAGCAAGTTACCCAACCTTTCAGAGGTTCAGTGTGGTCCTCTGTAAAAAGGGGGAGATGTTCGTAATGAGGCCTGAGATAATATGTACAAAGCCAAGGGCACATAGTACACACTCATTCAAGAGGAATCGCCAGTCTGTGCTGGCACAATGCTTTGTGCCCTGTCCCCAACACAGTGACCTTATTTGATGGCACTGCCAAGAGGATCCAGCCGTTCTTTCTGTCCTCGCCCCAGGCCCTCTGGCTCTCCGTCCCTTCAACCTCGGGCCTCCTGGTGACAGCTCCACCCACTCATCCCGTCCTCCTTCCTTGCAGCCCAGACTCCAGTAACCTCTTCTCATTGTTAGCAAAAAAGTACAGTGTAGGAAAAGCATTGTCCAGAGATATAAATAAATTCCAAAAACTTCTGAGTAATTTATGGCTCAAAGGACTGCTCTGTATTGATGGCACAGATGTCCCATCTGTGCTTCTCCAACTTCGCCACCAATGTGGAGAGGGGGAATGTGAGCCTGAGCAGAATTTACTGGAAATCTCAAATTTTACATCTTAAAATTAAGGTAAATTATTTTCTATGCCTTCATACATTTCCTTTTAATTATGGTAAAGTATACATATCATAAAATTTACCATTTCAACCATTTTTAAGTGTACAGTTCAGTGGTACCACGTTCGTTCACATTGTTGTGCAACCATCTGCCCTCCATCTCCAGAACTTTTTCATCTTCCCCAACTGAAACTCTGCACCCATTAAACAACTCCCCTTCCTCACTCCCCGACAACCACCATTCTACTTTCTGCCTTCATACATTTCTGCTTTAATATTTAAATGTTTTGAATCATTTAATTTTTCTAATCCTATGATGTATATTCACGTTTTCCTCTTTCTGCAATCAAGATGTGGCTTTCAGTCCACGTGTACGTTTAAGGTAGCTTCTTCCCTCCATCCTCAAAACGAAGCTGTTCTTACACCAACGGCGAGTGACTCTAATGACTGATGGCACAGGTGGTGCTTAAACACCCTCCTTTTCTCTAACCGTGAGCAAAAGCAGCTCTTGGGGAGGATGAGATGTGTTTATCCTGGGGCTGTGTATACTACTGGTACCCTGGCATGTCCCTGGGGTTTGTGCGTCCCAGCTCCCGGAGCCTGGCCTTCGCCAGCGGGCCCAGCCCCTCTGCCAACCTGTCCTTGGCTGCTCCTCCCCACCCCCACCTCAGTGCCTCCTGGAGCTTCTGGCCCTTGTCCAGAACTCAGGAGAATTCCAGAGCACCACAGTTAGCATATTTCAAATCGTAACTGCCTGGGTCCCAAATCTTCACTTTGGTCTTTTTGCAAGGAGCTTTTTGGAAGGAGCTTATCCAGACTTTGTGATATATTTTCTGAATCTTTACCTGTGTTTCAAATGGTTGATCCCGTATGCTTAGTTTTAAAAGAAACTCAAGCTCCATTTGCAATTTGGATGGTTATGCCCATCTTCCCCTTTGAGGACCCACCAGCCACAGGGAGGCCATTTGCTCAGCCAAGGTCTGAGGTCATTCTGGTTTGAACCTGTCTGATGAGGCTAGAGGGCAAGGACCCTTTATTTCACCTGCTTTCTGATGACACTTGCTGTGTTCAGTGGGTCTGTCTCAGGAGATGGAAAAATTACGCTGCGCTGCCGAGTCCCTGCCTGGCTCGGACCCCTCCCCAGCTCCAGGCCTCTCTAGGGACCCACTACGTTTCTACTGGCCCTCATTTTGCAGATGCAACCGGGCTGGGTGGTGTGGTGCAGGGGCCTGGGAAGCTTTCTCTGCACAGCCTGTTCTCATCTCACAATTATAAGAACTCGGGGCCCAATACAGGCCCCGGGCAGAAACCGTTATATACGTCCTGATCTCTTGCTTTCATGGGCTACCATTCCTCTAACATTTCCTCCTAATCATCACGCATATTGTTTGTAGAACATTTAGAAAATTTTTAAAAAAGCTTTAAAGAAGAAGAAAAAAAATTATTCGTAATCTTGGCTTCCAGTGGTAACCACTGTTAAAATATTAGTATATTTCATGGGGCCGGCCCTGTGGCATAGCTGTTAAGTGTGCGCGCTCCGCTGCTGGCAGCCCGGGTTCGGATCCCGGGCACGCACCGATGCACTGCTTGTCAGGCCACGCTGTGGCGGCGTCCCACGTAAAGTGGAGGAAGATCGGCACGATGTTAGCTCAGGGCCAGTCTTCCTCAGCAAATAGAGGGGGATTCGCATGGATGTTAGCTCAGGGCTGATCTTCCTCACACACACATACACACACACTTAGTATATTTCCTTTCAATGTTTTTTCTTTGCATATATATTTACCATACTGGAATTGCAGACTTGATTTTTTTCAGTCTACACTGTATCTTTTTCATTTCCCCATGTTTTCTGAAAAATAAACGCTATTCCTGATAATAAAATAATCCATGTTCACTGTAAAACATTTTCTCCAGCAGATTTTTATATCCACTTCCAGGCAGAGAGCTCTCACAGATAAAAGAAAAAGAAATTGCCGTCTCTTGTTTTATGGAGCAGTATACCTTTGATTTCAGGACTGGGCAGGAACAGTCCAAGAAAACAAAATTTCATGCATGCAAAAATCTTAAGTTAAATATTAACCAGTCAAATCCAGAAGTATTTTGGGAAGAAAAAATCATGGCTAAGTAAACTTTATCACAAGATGCCAAGAATTAAAAAAAAAAAAAAAAAACAAAACGTAATTCACCACAAGAAGAGATTAAAGGAGGAAACAAAAAAGATAGTATCATCTCAATGTACACAAAAAAGCATCCAAGGAAATTAAACTCATTCATGTTTAAAACTCTTAATAAAATAGGAATAGAGGGGAACTTATGTAAATGCTAACAGAAAGGGGAAAAAAGGACAATAAGAATAGGGGGAAATAATAGCAGATGAGAAATGTTGACAGAATTTTGGAAGCTGGACAACTATAATTGGCTTAGCAGACCCAAGAAAGCTCAGTGGATTTTCAAGGAAAGGGCGAGTGGGAGGAAGCTGAGAAATATGCCAATTTGTACTGAGAAACCCCAAATGCTCAAATATTAGAGGCAGCAGGTCCCTCTGAAGGCTAGGGTATGAGAAAAAGAAGGACTGATTGAAAGTCCATAAACAAGCAGTTAGGACCTCTCCCACTCCTTCCCCAAGATCCACCCACCTCACCCATGCAGCCAGGTAACTAGCAGAACTCTCTAGAGAGAGAAACCACAGGGGATTTTGGGATCCAGAGCACCAGGTTTGGCTGAGGGTTGAGGGTACTTACACTAGAAAGGGAGGGATTAAGTGCTACATTCTCAGAGGTGAAACCTCGGCTCCCGTCTCCCACTGCTCCTGGAATACTGACAGTTTTCACAAAGAAAATGGACGAGTGCCTGCCTGACTTCCCTATTGCAAAGCCTGCCTCAAATAAAGCCCAATACATCCACTCACCCCCATCCTAACACCCCTAAAGAGCTTCCAGTCGGCTGTTTAGTGCTTTACTCTTAATTATGACACTAAGGATCACCAGACATTTAAAGAAATTTCCTAACATGAAAAAGACAAAAAAGCCACTACACAGAATAAAAGGTAGTTGCAGAAAAACAGAGATATTGCAGGGAGCAGAAGAAAATTTCAGAAACACTATAATTAGTATCTACAATGAGATCAAAGAAGATACTGCATCCTTGTTTCAAAGAACAGAACACCATGAAAAAGGAACATTTGAAGAACCAAAAAGAATTCTTAAAATTACAAATAAGGCAGCAGAAATAAAAATGAAGAAAAAGACCCACAAAGGAATATTATTGTTAAATTTCAGGAAACTGAGTGGGAACAAAGGAGAAGACTCTGAAATTTTCCAGAAGGGGGAAAAAAGAGTCATAAAGGATTGGGGATCAGTGTGAACCAGACTTATTCATGGCAAGACTAAAAGCTAGAAGGTAATGGAGCAAAACATACACAATTCTGGGGGAAAACTATTTCCAACCTCGATTTCTATACCCAGCCAAGTTATCAATCAAATAAGATGTTAAAATAAAGGTCTCTTCAGACATGAAAGGTCTCAAGAAAGTTCTCTTTCATGCACTTTTTTCCCAGGAAATATACAGAGGATGTGCTGCACCAAAAAAATGCTATAAACCAAGAAAAAGATATGGGATCTAGGAAACGGGATTCCACACAGCAAAGAGGTAGGGCATACTGAGGATGGAGGTAAACAGAAATTCCCAGACAACAGCTGTGTAGCAGGCCTAGTGAGCAACTAGTCCAGACTGGAGCAGAGACCAGAGGACTCCGGGAGGCTGTCTGGCCATCTCCCTGACCTTTTCTCAGTTTTTTTTTTTTTTTTTTCAGGTCCATGCTCACTCACCCACCTTGACCTTCAGATCACATCCTCCTGTACTCTTGGAGCACTGCGCACCTTCCCTACATGGCACAGGTCAATATAGTAATTAAGCATCCATTTCTTTTTTTTTTTTTTTTTTAAGATTTTATTTATTTATTTTCCTCCCAAAGCCCCAGTAGATAGTTGTATGTCATAGGTGCACATCCTTCTAGTTGCTGTATGTGGGACGCGGCCTCAGCATGGCCGGAGAAGCGGTGCGTCAGTGCGCGCCCGGGATCCGAACCCGGGCCGCCAGCAGCAGAGCGCGTGCACCCAACCGCTAAGCCACGGGGCCGGCCCTAAGCATCCATTTCTATGGTTTCTTGATTAACGTCTGCCTCATTCACTGTTCTCTTAGCCATGTGAAGGTGGAGGCTGTGCTATTCTGGCTCATCATTGAATCCCCAGTGTCAAACACAGTCTAGGTGCTCGATAAATATTTATTAAAGCACTGACTGAAGGAATGCTGCATTTTCATGCATATTGGAACAGCTAATATAAATTCTTGGCACCTGCCCTAAATTAGATAAAATTAAGCCAAGGGCTGGATCCAGTTTATAGGTCCTTTATTGTAGCCACTTTCAAACCCACTGACTGGATTATTATTCAGCCAATACTCACTCCTCTCCCCCTTGCCACTGGGGATGGCATGTACCACCCTGTCCCTTTGATGTTGGCCTTGGCCATGTGATTTATTTTGGCCAATGGAATGTTAGCAGATTTGACGTGAGCAGAGTCCTTAAATAGTGCTTGGTTCTTGCCCTTCTGCCATTTTTCTTATGTAGAGTTTCTCTCGGGAAGAAGGATGAGCAACTCACAGAGCAAGTGCAAACCCAACCCACAGCCTCATGCTAAGCCCAGCCAATCTGCATCCTGAAGCTGAGCTGTCCCGCTAAACCCAGCCAACCTCAGCCCATCAACAGTCCTCCCACAGACCAATGATAAGACTTTTGGGGTGATTTGTTACCCAGCATAATTATAGCAATACCTGACTAGTAAACCCACTAAATCTAATTTCTTTTCCATACTACCTCCCAGAGAGTACACGTCTCCCCCACAGACCTGCCAGCACAGACTGGGTCCTGAGCTCACTGCTAATTGCTTGGCCACCAGGCTGGATGGGAACATCCCTGCTCCAGCCCTCCAGCTCCAGCTCCACTTCTCAGGATGAAGACCAAACTGACGTCTGGTCCTCCCGCATTTCAGTGTATTTCTCCAGGCCTTGGTGACTTATTTGGTAACGCAGAGTTGGACTAGATCTTTGAGATTCTTTCCAATGCTGGGAATCTGTAGTGACATCCACACCCTTCTCCTGCCCACCCCCCTTCTCACCTGGGTGTGGCTCAGCAGGGGCAGTGTAGCATGGTGAGCTGAGCAGAAAGCCTGGCTGGCCTCCCAGGCCTGAGCTTCGGCAGAGAGGTAGTAGCAGTGCTCCTCGGACCACATCCAGCCCTGGGGGCAGGGCCGGCACCTGGCCCCTGCAAGGACAGAGACCACTCGTGAGCACAGGGTAAACTGGAGACAGCTGAATGTACATACACTAAAAAGTCAAAACCTGGCTGCTGCCTTGAGTGAGGGGGCAAATCTGGAGGCATGGAACTGGCAAGCGGGGTGGGCAGGGCCCCCGGAAGGCTGCACAGTTCGTTCAGTGCACAAAGCCCCCTGGGTGGGGCTGCCATCCCACTGCTTGTCAGAGTGCAGGCTGTGTCCAGCAGGAGGAAGGAGCTTCTTCCGTATCTTTGTTCAGCAGGCCCCGTGTCTTTGTGCTGCATCTGTCCCGTGGGGTGTCTTTTTCTAATTCTCACAAAGGTGCAGTAAGGACAGACAGCCTGGTGGAGGAGCAGAGCGGGGGTGGTCGGGGGGGAACTGGGAGGAGGCACCATACCTGCTCTAGAAGCCAGGGCCACAATGGCGACCGCGGACACCGCCAGGAGCACAGCCATGACTGCCAGCGCCCAGCGCAGGGACTTCATGTACATGGGCAGCCCTGGGGGTGGAGGGACGACCAGGAAAGACAGGTTAGGAAGACCACACTGACTCATCCACCAGCATCAACGCCCCTGAGCACCCACCCCCTGGACCCAAGACACCAGGATAAACCACTCGATTTTGGTCAGATCTTCGTATTTGGGAGAAAAATGCTAGAAGATGTTCTGCTTTTTAAATAATTAGCAAGGAATGAGAGCTGGATTTGGTGTTCGACAGACCTGGCTCCACGTCCTGACCCACGGGCCCCTCAGGTGTTGTTGGAGTTTTCCTGTTTTAACCCTGGAATCACACCTGCCTCTTCTCTCTCTCCAGGCCACTGGAGGCCTCTAAGAAAGCATCGTGCAGAGAGCACTTTGCAGGCTGTCACTAGACAGATGTGAGTTGTCAGCAGCTCAAGGACCCAGGGGACCAGATGGTTGGAATGAGGCTGCAGAGGGGAAAGGAACTCCTGGCACAGGAGAACACTCCAGGCAAAGACTGAGAGAGAGAACATATTCAAATGCCACATCCCAGCCTGTTGAGGGAGTAACCAGGGAGGCCAGAGGGGAAACTTGGAGAATAAACACCATAAATGCTTAATTAATCACAGCCAGAGCGTGAAATCAGAGCAAGAGACCTCTCCTCTCCCAGACCCCTCGCTGCAGGGTGCCCCAGGACCCCCCAATCTCGGGGATAAGGGTCAGGAATGCCACGTAATTGGTGTGAGGGTCCTAAGAACTCAATCATACTTGCCAAAGCCTGAAACAGCAGAAGTAATTCTGTAGCAAATATTTATTATTTTGAAAAGACTAATTCCATTTTAAAAACCACATGTATATACCCACATATAAATGTACACATGCATGTATGGTACACACACATACACAATTCCAAGGTCTGTAATACACCTTTAATAAACCTTTTTAATAAAGGTTTCAGTCATAATTCAACTTTAAAAGCACAGGCACTTTTGAAATCCCCATTTTTCCATTTGTTTTAGAGAAAACACTTGCTTCAAAGGGAAGTGTGTTACACTGATATCTGAAAAGTCGACATTCCACCTGTGACCATTTTGGAGCTGTTGTTTTTTTTGAAATACATAATCTGCTTCTTAAAGGGATTTGACCCAAATTTCCATCAATCGATAAATGGATAACCAAAATGTAGTATATCCACCATACGATGGAATATTATTTAGCCATAAAAAGGGATGAAGTGCTGGTACATGCTACAACATGGATGAACTTTGAAAACATTATGCTAAGTGAAAGACGCCTGTCACAAAAGGACACGTATTATGTGAGTCGTTTTATGAAATGTCCGGAATAGGCAAACCCATAGAGACAGAAAATAGATTAGGGGTTGCCTAGGGCTGGGGGCGGGTGGGGAGTGATTGCTAAAACATACAGCATTTCCTTTTGGGGTGATGAAAATATTCTAAAACTGGTTGTGATGATGGTTGCACAACTCTGTGAATGTACTCAAGACCATTGAATTGTAGGCTTTATTTTTTATTTATTTATTTTTTTTTTTAAGATTTTATTTATTTTTCCCCCAAAGCCCCGGTAGATAGTTGTATGTCGTAGTTGCACATCCATTCTAGTTTCTGTATGTGGGACGCGGCCTCAGCATGGCCGGAGAAGCGGTGTGTCGGTGCTCGCCCGGGATCCGAACCCGGGCCGCCAGCAGCGGAGCGCGCGCACTTAACCGCTAAGCCACGGGGCCGGCCCTGAATTGTAGGCTTTAAATGGGTGAATTGTGCAGTAGGTAAATTACAGCTCAATGAAGCTGTTACCAAAAAAGGGACTTGAAAATGGTTAAAATAAAAGATACAGATAGACAGTCTTAAAATAATAAAAGCAGAACTAAAAAGCTTGAAGAATAGGAAAATAAATCCACCAATCACCTCAGTAAATATAATTATTGTGTCTGAACACTAAATTCAGCTCTGACCTTTCAGGAAACAAGGCAGTAAAGAAATACCCGTAGGTCACAAAAGTCTCACACAGCTTCTCACTCAGAGCTGACCTTGGAAATGCCACCCCCCCCAGAGCCGTCAGTCCTCCCCAACTTCCAGGCAAAGAGGAATTCCTGCCCAGCCCTTTCAAAAGCAATTCTTAATTACACAAGTAACACAAATACATTCTCCTTGTAAATAAATGAAACTAGATGAAGCTAAAATCCCCTTTAAACCTGTCTTCTCCCTACCCCAATCCTGGACCTTCTCCCTTTTTTTTTTGCTGAGGAAGATTAGCCCTGAGCTAACATGGTGCCAATCTTCCTCTAATTTGTGTGTGAGCCCCCACCACAGCATGGCCGCTGATGAGTGGTGTAGGTCCACACCCGGGAACTGAACCTGGGCTGCCAAAGCAGAGCACGCCGAACTTAACCACTAGGCCATGGGGCGAGCCCCGACCTTCTCTTTAAATCAAATTCTGTGTCTGCAAACACCCCCAGTCCAATTCCTAAGAGAGCAGTAACATGGCAATAATAATATACATTCCCTTCCTCTCCAGCATTTTCCCTGCTGCCCCATTCTCTAGCTTCCACCCAACGTCGTTTTCAAACCCTAGACTGGCATCTCTGATGTTACCCCCTCTGCTTACTTCCTCACTGCTCATCCCATCTTCATTTTCTACATTTTGACTACCCTTCCTACCCCACAACTGAATCACCATCTGCTTCCTCCTAGTCAAATCCCAGAGCAGGGGTGGACCCAGGTTTTGGGGGACTTAAATTTTATTCAGTTTGGGGGGTCATCTTAAAAACTATAACACGAACTTCCAAAGTTCAGTACAGGGACCCAGAGGGCTCCTGCCAGCCGGAGGCCTACTTCTGTGCCATCGCCTTCAGGTAAATCCACATCTGCCACCGCCTCTGCTCCTCCCACTGAGCCTGACCCCGCTGGACATCACCCTCTCTGGGCTCCATTTCCTCCACACACTGAGCACTGAGAACATTCTTCCTCCTGCCCCACCAAAATCCTAACCACCTGCCCGACCTTCTCCAAAAGACACCTTCACCCACAGCCTCTGTTCTCACTCCTGGCTCCAGCTCTCCCTCCCTGTACCCCTCCTGACTCCAGCCCAGACTGCCTTGCGCTTTGCTTGTGAATGTGTTCTCCCCTGCCCAGACTGAGACTGCTGGAGGGCAGGGGCCAGGTCGGACACTTCCTCATGTCCTACACACCTGGTGTGCTGAGCACAATCTAACAGGTGCCAGTGGGCTGGCCAACCATCAAGATCCAACTCTCGCTTAGAGGGCCGGGGGCCAAGAATTTCTGACATGTCTACTGAGAGGGTTAGGGCCGTCCACTTAGTAGTTATTGATAGATTAATGTGCCAGGTGTTGGAGAGTCCCTGAAAGACTCCACCTGCCATGCCTCCGAGGGGCTCAGAATCCAGGGGAGGATGCTTACAAAGAGGTAACTATGCCACCTGTGAGGAAAGCCGTGGTCGGGCCACACGAGGGCCAGTGGAAGCGTGGAATGGGGACACCTAATCCAGCCTTGGGGACCAGGCGAGGTAACTCTAAACCAACATCTAAGGGCGAAATATTCTCTACCGGAGGATCCAGCTCTTCCCCCACTCTTAGGCTCTCTGCAGACTGACTTCTCTTCTAGGCTGAGTGCTGCCACTGAGAACATTCTCTGAGTCTTTGATCAGAGATCTTTGGGACACCTGCCCAGAAAAGCAGGGAAGAGACAAAGCAGTGACACTCTCAGCCCTCTCCACACTGGCTTTTCCCCTCTCGGGTGCATAAGGAGGAGACGATGCAACAGCTGGCTTACGGCATTACCGCGTGGGCTGGGCAAGTCCTGGAGCCTGGCCCGGCTTTGGCCCCCTTGTTGAGGTGACCAGCCCGATCCCAGGCGTAAAGGTCAGCACAGGCAGAAAGCACTCTGCAGAGCTCCTCATCCAAGCAGCAGCCCTCAGACCAAGCCTCAGCCCTGCGCCGGGAACCCCGAGGTTCCTTAACCCCACATTTCCCATAGAGCAAGCATCAGTATACACCCCGCGGTATCTTCTGTCCGGCATCTCACCTCCCACCATTCTTCTTCACACCCCCTGGTCACCTGCATCACCCCCAGAGCACTGTTTCAACGGGGCAGCACTCTGTAATCATCCAGTCCCAAAGTCTGCCTCTCCCTGACGCCTCAACAAACATCTGACACTGTTGACCACACTCTTTTAGAAACCCTCCCCTTTTTCTGCTTCTACGCTTCCTGATTCTCTTCCTACCGCCTACATTTTTCTTTCCCAGGCTGTAGCTGACTCTTCTTCCTTTAAACAACATCTCTACCTGGAACTCCCAAACGCACCTTCTTATTTATTTCTCCCACACCTCTTCCCCCATTCTCCATTTTGGAAGGATAACACGATCCATCATACAGCTACCCAAGTCAGCAACGTGGGGTCATGCCCACTCCTCCCACTAGCCCACCTTCACCAGCCCAGCTCACTAATTCTACCCCTTGCAGCCTCCCTCCCCCCGCTGCCATAGATCAACCCTTCATCATCTCTTGCTGGACTACAGATATCACCTCCTAACTGGTCTCCTCTCCCACCATCTCATGCCTGTCCCATCCTTGCTCCACACTGCTGTCAGAGCTCACTTTCTAGAATAAAAACCCAACCATGTCACCTCCGCATTGACTCCCCACTTCTTTGTCATCCCACCCTTTTTAGCCACAGACTCTTTATTATTAATCTGATGAAAAGCTATCAACTCACTGTGGTAGACAGAATAATGTCCCCTTGAAGATGTCCATGTCTTCATCCCAGGAACCTATGAATATGTCAGGTTACATGGCACAGGGGAATTAAGGTTGCAGATGGAATTAAGGTTTCTAATCTGCTGACTTTGAGATGGGGAGATTATCCTGGATTTTCTGGGGTCCAATGTAATTATAAGGGTCCTTATAAATGGAAGGAGGCAGAAGAACAGGAGAGTCAGCGAGATGGCAGAGGGAGAAGGATTCAGCCCGACACTGCTGGTTTTGAACATAGAGAGGGTCATGGGCTAAGAAATGAGGTGGCCCCTAGAGGCTAGAAAAGGCAGGGAAACAGAATCTCCCCCAGGGCTCCCAGAAAGGAACATAGCCCTGTTGACAACTGGACTTTAGACCACTGAGCCCACGTCGGACTTCTGACCTACAGAACTGTAAGATAATAAATTGGTCTCATTTTAAGCCTCTAAGTTTGTGGCAGGGCCGGCCCCATGGCTTAGCGGTTAAGTGCACGCGCTCGGATGCTGGTGGCCAGGGTTCAAACCCCGGGCGCGCACCGACGCACCGCTTCTCCGGCCATGCTGAGGTCGCGTCCCACATACAGCAACTAGAACGATGTGCAACTATGACATACAACTATCTACTGGGGCTTTGGGGGAAATAAATAAATAAATAAAAAGATGATTTAAGTTTGTGGCAATTTGTTATAGCCGCAATAGAAAACCAATACACCCATCATGCAGCAAATGTGCTCCCACCAAACTCTGCAGAAGTTCCTGAGTGACCCCGGTCCCTGACCTCTACTCATGTCTAAGAACCCTTGGCACTTAGGGGCCCTCAGGAGTGGCGTCGTGTCTAGCTGGTCTGTCCTTCCTCTCATCGGGCCAAGCTTTTGGCAATCTGCCTGCTGGGCAGGCCTCTAGCCCCTCCTGGCCTCTGTTCCTGCAGCTCTCCAGCCAGAAGTGGCCTCTACCACCCCCAACTCCTACTCACCTTTCAAGACTTAGCTCCTGGAAGCTTTCCCATGTCCCCAAGTTCACCAACCACTCCCTCTTGGTTCCTTGTTCACGACTGTTCATAGCTTTTTCAAGCTCTTTCTTCTTCCCCGCCCTCCCCGCAACAAAACAATCCACACACACCCTGGCCTGTAGTCCCCACGCAGTAGCTGCTGAATGGATGAGTGTTTGGAGCCAAATGCTCCTCGGTATATGGAGGAGGGAAGGAGGGCGCCTAGGCCTGCGAGAGGTCGGTCAGCCTGGAGCCAGATGTCCGGAGACTGTTCCCGCCCGTGCCGCCACCACCGTCACGTGATCCTGAAAGACCCTTCTCTCGCCTGGAACCCCTTCCACCTCTACTTCTCAACGATGCTGCGCACGTGGAGAAAATGCACGAGTTCGAGGGGGTGAGGGGGTGGGGGAATAATTCTTTTACCGCAAACGATTTGAATTACATTTACGTAGGCCAGGTGGGGTCGGGGCATCGGGATGGTCGTCTGTGTCCCCTGGTCCCTCCACCGCTCAGGGGCCCGGCGCGGGGTGAATGTGGGGGGGGCAGCGCGGGCCCCCGGCGCCGGCGCGCGCTTACCGATGAGTGTTAGCGCCCGGGGCAGCTTCTTGTCGCCGTCCACCTCGGCGCGCGGCAGCAGCACCGCGTCCTCCCTCTTCTCCAGCCCCAGCTCCCGGCAGCGGCACGTGGGGGAGCCCGGGGACTCCGCGCGCCCCTCGGCGGGGCTGGCCCGGCCCCAGGTGCCGCCCGGCGACGGGGCCCGCGGCAGGAGCGGGTAGGCGGGGGAGGCGTGGCGGGAGAAGCCTGGGGACTCGGGCACCGGCACGGTGAGGAAGCGCGTGGGGGGCGCGGGCGAGGGCTCGCGGCTGCCGCCGGCCGCGCCCACGGGCTTCACGCGCACGTCCACCTGCAGTTCCATGGGAGCCCAGGTGCCGGGCGTC